ATGAACACATGGTGAATGAACACATGGTGAATGAACACATGGTGAAATAGGGTGGATTAAGAAAAACGTCTAGTCTACTGCAGCATAACTAAGCGAGGATTCAGGGTCACCTGGTCCAGCTGCTTCCACAGAGGAGGAGAAACTATTCTACTTTTACAGATCTCAGGAACGTCTGAACTTGATTTCGTATTGCTATTACATCATTTAACTTTCTTCATTTAACTGAGAAGTGCTTTATAAATAAACTTGACTTGTTTATTTCTCTGATGAAACAGAATGAAAATGATTTCTCGAGTAGTGCAGCAGGAATTATTCCACGAGTTATGTGACCTTAAAGCAACAGGTAATACACATGGACTGAAAACATGTAAACAAGTCCAAATCGCTCCTTTACCTGTGACATATTCTTTGACCTGGTGGATCTTGCTGATGGGGTTGTTACCTTGGAACATGTACAGGTTAAAGGGCTGAGGGTCCTTACCAACACGTGTCCATGTGCTGATGTCAGGAGTGGTCCACCTTAAAACACAGACATGCTCTGCTCATGCTTGACACCATTACAGTCACCTGTTACACTTGTGCTGGTCGAGTGTCAGACTGCCTACCTTCCCGCAGGAATGTCATAATCTCTGTCTCCAAAATGAAGCAACCGCGTCAAAGGATCATACAGACCTCCGTGGAAACCAATTACCAACACGAAGTCTGGGTTGGAATCAAAGTAAACTTCACCATACGCTGTGTATTGCACCTACACAGACACACAAAGATCTATTAATTGCATCGGATATGGAGAAACACAGCAGATCTGATGAATAAAGTCACATGCTGAAGCCTTTTGTTCCGGCAGGACCAACATGCATACCTGTTTAAGCAGGAGCCCATTGTTACTGAACACAGCCAGTGGAGTCCCAGTGTTATCACATGCAATATAAAACTCTTCTCCGCTGCTGATCTCCATGGCAAAAACATGGCCCTGTGCAAAAATAACCAACATTGGATTCAACAATAACAAACCTGCTATCATGCTGCGATATGCAGTTATAATCCATTGCTATGGGGTGCACACACACCGTGTTTTCACATCTTTGTGGAGATCACGCCGCTAACCCCAGCCATGACAAATGAATGCCTAAACCTAACTATGACCGAATTGTTACCCTGACACTAAAACCACATTTTGAGTCTGTTGGTCCCCACAAAGATATGTAGACACGGTCAGCTGCATTGTTACAGATGCCTCGACTAGTGCACCATTAGCTTTAGCAGAATAACTAAATATATTACAGGGAGAAACTGCTCTCTCCGTCTTGTCACTTTTTTCCATATGCTCACTGGAGAGAAACCTGCTGTAACCAGACTGTCGTGCATCAAAAGTACAGCACTGAGTGTCTCGCCTGCTTCTAGCACGACAGCAGAGAGGTTTTTTAACCAGCCTTCTAACTTTAGCAAAAGCACTGCTGCGAGCTAAATGACTCTTTCAGTGTGGTACCTGCAGATCGTAGTAAAAGGACGTGATCTCTGAGCTGGAGTGGTTGTAGACGTGGGTTATCCTGGTGGGATAGTTCAGGTCCGCATAGAAGAACTGCAAGTGCTGGCCCAGGCTGTTCCTAGATGCTACTCGCCGACCCAAGCCGTCATAACGGTACTGGATGGTCCAGCTGGCTGCTTTGCTGTAGACACGAACTAGTAGGCCTGTTGTAAAAAAAATACTGATGCTGTTGTCTTTTATAAGGAAAAAGTGCACATGTTCAGTGCATGTATGACTCTCCTTAGGGTTAGTTTTCTGTTTTCCACATAAGCCTTTAGAGCAGCGGTCCCCAACCCCCGGGCCTCGGACCGGTACCGGTCCGTGAGTTGTTCGGTACCGGGCCACGAGAGTTGAGGCTCAGCTGTGAAATGTGTGGTTTTCAGGATTTTTATCGGTTTTCAGCGTTATTTTGTTGTCGTTTTTATTGTTTACTCGGTTTTCCTGGGTCTTTTCACGTGTGTTATGAATAAATCTTCTTTTTTTCGGTACCGGTACCAGTTTTATTTTGTTGTATTTATCCGCGACACCTTAAAGGCCGGTCTGTGGAAATAATGTCGGGCATAAACCGGTCCGTGGCGCAAAACAGGTTGGAGACCGCTGCTTTCGAGTGAACTTTGACTGCTCAGGATGTGATCAGGTGCTCTATGGCACAATTTGAAAACTTCTGTCTTGATTATTACATTTTCCTACACGTCTGATTTGGGTAATCATTTAAACAAGCACAGTCGACGTCAAGAGGACGAACACTACTGTGCCACTTTGCGTTGCGTCTGTTGGTCAAACTGTGCAAACCTTTGGAGTTGTATTCAAATATCTCAGCTCCTCTCTGTCTGAGGAAGCCGTCTTCATCCAGCCTATACTGAACATCTCCCAGCCGAGTGATTCTGTCCCGCAGGTCGTAGCGCAGAGGGGTCAAACGCCCGCTGTTCCCAGGGTTCAGCAGATGCAGATTCCCGTTCAGATCGTAATTATATCTGAAAGGACAGAAAGTAGAATCGTTAATTATTATTTGGCATCAGTGTTTTCTTTCTTTCTTGAATGCTGTGATCCTACCTCCACATCATCTTCTCATTGAGGGAGACGGTCTGCAGCTGTCCATCGACGTCATACTCATAACCATATTTGGTCGTGTTAGCAAACGGCCCGATCTTGATTTCACGCTTTGTCACTCGGCCCATGTTGTCATACTGAATGGTGATCCAGTACATCAGTGACCTGAAAATCTCATACTGGATCTCCTTGATGCGGCCGTGCTGGTCAAAGTGTTTTGTGTAGGTCATTACTGCTGTGGAGATAATCTGGGAATGATGGGCAGACAGAAGATCTACTGTTACACTTCAGCAGTGACCCAAAGCCCTGCTGATCAAAAAACTGCACCTGACATCTGGACAGCCCCACCCTGCCTCAGGTGGGGTTTTGTTTCATTGCTTTGAAGACACAAACACAACCTCCAGCTGTGGGTGGAGAAAATGTCATTTGATGAGGGAAGAACACCTGCTGCATCTGACACACATAAATCATACCTGTGACTAACACTGTGTCCAGAAGCATAACAGTGGTTAAACGTAACTGAGGGCTGTGGGTGCTCAAACTCTCAGGATGTGAAAGGATGTTAGCTCGCTCTTTAAATATTAGCTCGTCTGCTGCCAGTTTAACTTCAAGGCTTCGAGAAACATCCACAAATAGCTGCAACACTGAGAGGTCACAATAAACAAGCTGATATGGAGAATTAAGATATCTGAAATATATCCTTATCAGCACAGCGAGACCTGAAATGTCCAGCTACCTCAGCCTAATTAACCCTATAAACCTGTGCTATAAACTCTCAACCACGAAATGAAGATCCACAAAAACTCAGTGTTTCAAAATGTTTTCGTGATCTCTGCTGCCATGAGACACTGCCTCAGCCCCATTTACCAATCACTGATTAATGCACTTATCCCACTTGTTTTCTTCCTCTTGGAGACGTCCAAAGTTTTGCCCCTGAAAGGATCTAACTGATGTGTCGTGCAGCGGGGGTGATAACATGATTTGTGTGTCCCTTCGGTCTCTTCCAGGAATCATCGTATGGTTTGATGTGAATGAAAATGATGTTACTCGTATGATATGGCCTTGCCAGTCACTAGATTTAGGAATGGTGCTCTCCACCACCATCAAAAGACCAAAAAGGGAATATCTTTTGGAAGAACAGAGTTTAAAAGATTACTAAAATGTTACCATATTACTAGAATCTGAGGTGCTTATTTTAAACAGTATCGAAGATCCGTTATTACCTGATTGATATCGTAATAAATGACTCCAAACTTCCCAAACTGTTCCACTTTCCCAGATATGTCGTCAAACTGATAGAGATCGATGGGCAGCGGCGTCTCGTTGATTACAGCCTGCATGCTGGTGACCCTGAAACTGTTGTCATAGGTGTAGTCAAAGCGCGCGTTCACCATCCCGTCCTCGCTGAAGCGGAATATTTGCCGGTCAACCAGTGGGCCAATTTGGCGGTACCGGATGGAGCAGATGAAGCCTTCGCTCTGCAGGTTGACAGTCTTAAGCACACCAGCAGTCTCGTCATATGTGAAGCTGACCCTGGTCGAGTCATAAAGGATTTCTGCCAGCTTGTTCTGACGAGACAAATATAAACAAGTGTTACAGTGACGACACAAGCAGGATGTCTGCTGTGCATATCACACCCCATCACCAGCCTACAGCTCATCCAACTGTTTCTTTATGGTTCCACTATGGGTAACATTCAATGACCAAAAGCAACTGTGAAGTTTGAAGCGGGAAAGATGTTGCAACAACACTGCTGCATGCTGCATGTACAGGACAACTGTACCTTAAACATACACAGACATTTCCTTCCTCATCGGTAACCTTTGACCTTTGTTGAAGAATCAGCTGCATAAAGACATGAATAACCTACCTGTCTGCGGTATTTGTACAGTATACGCCGGCCAGTGCCTAGATGAGCCACCCTCAGGAGCTAAGAAAGAGAAAGCAGTGAATGATTAGCTTTGCTGCTGTTGAGTGAAGTTGATCACATCCAGTGTGTCTCTTACTTGCTAAAAACAAAACACACCTGTCCATCTTCAGAGTAATCCACAGTAACAGACGCGTTGCTTTCTGGTGGGGTGTAGATGTTCCTGTAATATCCTACGGATCGGATGGTCTGCATGGTGTGTCGGGCCACGCTGGGCATGGTGACTGCTGACAGGCGGTCCACGGAGTCATAGTCAAAGATGTACTGGTGCTGGCTGTGCAGCAGCAGCACCATGGACTGATGCAGAGACAGGAGGAAGACAATTAGAAGCAGAACACACTGACTGGTCGCGTGGCGGCCTGTAGTGAGAGGCCACAGACGTTATGATTGGATGTCTGAATTACAGTTTCTTATACAGAAAACAAAAGTGGTGCAAATGTTGTAAATGTAGCCTAGATTCACATCAGTCCACACTGCAGATACATGAAGATTCATTCAAGCACAACTGGCACTGCATCGTTTAATCAGATGTTATCAGATAAAGATCCTGATATTGTTGCACCACCTGCTGGAGCTGCACCTACCGAGGTCATGCAAAGCTCCCCTGCATGTGTGTTAGACAGTTTGACATGAATACCAAAGTGAACACTGACACCACATATGCTGCTCAGATACACCTGATTTGGTCATGAGTGTGTTTTATAGGATACATTTCCACGACCAGAAGAGACACACACATCAAAATAAAGAATGTTGCGCTTCAGTAATGAAATGTGCAATAAAATATGCTTTAATAAATTCATTTACTATTCTTTTATTTATTTAGACATTAGTAAATAATCTATTAATTAATAATGTAAAAGGTGATGTTGCAATGTAGCAATCAGAGTCTGAAGGCCCAGACAATTCCCAACAGATTGATTTTCCCACGTGGATCATTATGGCTTTGCTATACTGGTCAGCTTAATTGTCACAGTTTATTTGATCTTTATTATTTTTTGGCACTTTTAAGTTATTACAGTCTGAACAGACACTGTGGGACGGGAAAGATGAAGAGAAGTTAGGAAGTTGAGTTAACAGAAGGAGAGGGACAACAGTAGAGAGGGATGGAGAGAGAAAAGACACTGAATCTGTTTGATCACCTGCTGAAACAAAACAGGCAAAAAGAAAAAACATAGCAGGGAAACCATGGCAACAACCCAGAAAAGCATCAGTAACAGTAAATAATAAATACTGAATGTTACTGAGCAGCAGGACTGATAATGCAGGATATGTTTGGAGGCAGCAGCCTGTGTGAGTCTGTGAGTACCTGTGTGTGTTTGTATTCAACAACCATAAAAAAAAGATTTTCTAAATCATTTAAATTTAAATGTAAAAAAGAAAAAGAAATAAATGAAAAGATGTTTTTCTGACATTTAAAATTCCACTCCTCATTTTTGAAATCCACTGAATTTTCCTTTCCTGTTAGCTCACAGATTAGCTTTTAAATGACCAAATAAGATGTTGTTGTTTTGTTTTTTACTGTGCTCCTTTGTCTCAAAGCTTAGCCTAACCAGTTATCAGGTTTAGGGGCGATCACGTTTTCATACAGAGTAAAGGACGTTTGGATTTTTCCCCCTTAACCATAAACACCTTCATTTAGGACTGTATTTTGTGTATACTTGTGTCGTATTTGTATAATATTTATACAAATATATTTTGTGAAAAGGGTTGGCGTAATAAGCAAATGCTTCAGCCAATACCTTTTGATTAGCCTTGTCTCATGCTTTCTTTCTTTATGGTAGATTTTTGTTCTGTTTTCACTGTTTGTTTGTTTGTTTTTTCACTGTTTTCACTGAGATTTGAATTTGAATGCTAATCAATAAAATCAAAATCAATAATATTTAAATTTGTCTGATGATCTAAAGCATTTAAGTGTGACAAACATACAAAAAAATAGGAAATCAGGAAGGTGCAATGGTTTATTTGAAGAGTTTCAGTCAGGTTTCAGAGCTCAGCACAGCACAGAAACAGCTTTAGTGAAGGTTACAAATGATCTTCTTATGGCCTCTGACAGTGGACTCATCGAATATCTACTGTCAGTTAATATTTGTAAATCTGAAAAGCCAAGAAGTTTTGTTATGCATATATATATATCCTACAGTATATAGCTTTTCATTCTATAAAAAAAGGGGAAGCCTAGCTTCTTCCTGGGCCACAACAAGTTTCATAGCTTGAACGTGCTGCTCTGCTGGGTCCTGCCTGCTTGTATTCTGCATATTCTCCTAAATGGGTTTCAGCTGGACACTGTAGCTTTCACCTACAGACAGGCATGTTAGACTAACTGCCAATTTTAAACTGATTATAGATGTGACTATGAGAGCAGAGGCCTCAAAATGTGACATCTTGGATATGCAAATGGCAAACTGTACAATAAAACATGTGAATGTATAGAAAAAAAATGAACTTGTAGTTTCAAACGGTAGAAAAGAAAGGAGCATCGTGTATGAGGACAGTACGAGAACAAAGGAAAGGATGTAGTGGGTACTTTAAATGTAGGGACACGAGGAAGGTAGATATGTTATGTGTGCAGGAGGAGAAGTGGAAGGAAGCAAGGCCATGGCCACTGAAGGTGGATACAAACTCTATCTTGGTGTTGATAGGAAGAGAAATGGAGTAGGGGTGACCTTGAGTATGTGTACTGTGGAGCTGCAGAGTGTAAAGTCGGTGATGCATGTACCTGACAAACAGGATGTCAGGTGAGAAAGAGAAAGTTGGATCAAATGGTACAGAGCGTGTGCGTGTTGATGTGTGGGGATTACATGATGTAAGTTGGAGAAGGAACAATGTTGCATACAGTTTCGGGAGGAGCTGATATTGTCACAGCCGGGGCAGCAGTCGTGTGGTGGAAACAATGAGGCAGTGGAGATGCGAGTGGAGATTTATGTACAGTGAAAATAACAAAGGTGAGGGAAGAACTGAACATAAAACTGGGAAAACTAACAAACTGAAACATAAGGACAGCAGGAGATGTACAAAGGCTGTGCAGAGAGACGCAGAGGAACACAGGCAGACACACTATAAATACACAGAGGGACACTGGGAAATCACACACAGTGGGAGACACAGCTGGACCTGATGAGCCTGACGAGACGGGGGACCAACAGAGGGAGCACAACCCAGAAACCCAGCATCCAAAACCCCAAAACACAAACCATCCCAAACAGTCCACAAATAGTAGTGATAATAATAATAATAACAATAAATACACCAAACACAAAATCACTGAGTCCACGGACTCAGGACCATGACAGATATAATCTCAGAGATAAGCTCCAGGAAAGCTGATGAGCCATACCAGAGAAAGAGTCGCTAGACTAAAGGGAGAGGTGATGATCAGCAAGCAGCAAAGAAGGAACACTATAGGTGAAAGGTTTCTACTGAGGGTGTTGGTGGAGAGTAAGGAGGAGATCAGAATGAGGTGTACTACTGACAGCATGCCAAAAAACAAACTATGATGTTCGTCGAGTGTGGCAGAGAGCTGTGTGTCCTGCTCCACCCTGGAGGACATGAAAGAGGAATGTGAGGCAGTGGTGAGGTGTGCAGTAGAGGTGACAGGTGGGTTTTAAACATCAGCTCTGAGCCTCGTCTTGTTTGCAGTGGTGATGGTGGACAAAAGAGGTCTCCGTGGACTATGACCTTCACAGATGACACTTTAATTCTGTCGTAAGAGCAGGGAGCAGGTATGAACAATGAAAATCAATAGAATCAAGAAAGAATATGTGTGTGAATGACAGGAAGGTAGCTGGAGAGGTGAACATGCAAGCAATGGAAGCATTGAAGGTAGATGAGTTTAAAACCTGGAGTCAATGATCCAAAGCAATGGACAGTGCAGAAGAGAGGTGAAGAAGAAAGCGTTTGCAGGGTGGAGATATATTCAGTAGATGACAGTGAGAGCTGCTATGGTGTATGTCGAGGAGATGGTGAGACTAACACAAAGACAGGAGGAAAAGCTGGAGGTGGCAGTTTTGTTGTAAGTGATGGACAATTTTAGAAATGAGTATCCCCACAGCCACCTCAGTCAGCTTGGAGATAAAGTGAGGAAGGCAAGACTGAGATGCTTTGGCAGTGGTTTGGGGGGAATAATGGATACAATGGACTAAAGATGTATACAGCTGCAAGCTGGAGGTACAGAGGAAGACCGCATCGATGGATGCAGTGAAAGAGGACATGTAGAAGGTTGGTGCAATAGGGATGAATGCTGTCATCCCACACAAACTCACTCACAAGCTGGCAACACTCGGCCTGCACCCCACCCTCTGTGACTGGCTACAGGACCTTTTGACTGCCAGGCCCCAAACCGTCGGGATCAGCAACAGGACTTCAGCCAGCATTATTACAAACACTGGCGTCCCACAGGGTTGCGTCCTCAGCCCCATCCTCTACACCCAGTACACCCACGACTGTGTCGCCTCCAACAAAGACAACACCATACTGAAGTTCGCGGACGACACTGCAGCGATCGGTTGCATCACTGGAGGGGACGAGGCGGCTTATAGGAGAGAGGAGGCCGGTCTGGTGTCATGGTGTGAGGACAACAACCTCACCCTCAACACTGACAAGACAAAGGAGGTGAAAGTGGACACAAGGAAGAAGAAGAGGCCTCACCAGCCGCTGTCTATCCGGGGCCTTGAAGTGGAGAGGGTGAGCAGTAGGGGTGGGGAAAAAATCGATACTGTGTAGTATCGTGATATTTTGTTTGCTAATAATGTATCGATGCAGGGACAGCAGAAATCGATACTGTGTAGCATCGTGATATTTTGTTTGCTAATAATGTAT